TAATTACCATATTATTGATGCAATATTACCATATCCATGAACAGGCCATTAAGCATTTCAACTACCTTGTCCACTGCAAGCTTCATATCAGCAGCCTTACGTATAGCATTTTTTCTGTATCTGTAAGCTTACAGGACAGCTTGTAATTTCACACCATTTTAATTGGGTTAAGTGAATTTACTATAAAAAAGATCGTGAAAAACATACCTGCAACAGAAAGGAATGTTTTAGTGACAACCATCATATGTTTTGGAGAAATAAATCATAGTTTAGGTCAATTACTTTTTATTCTATGATGCCTGGTGCACAATTCTATAATGACATTCTATGCACAATTTTGTGATGACTGATGATGCACTAATTGTTTGATAAGTGAAATTTTTTTGCTGAGAAAGGTAAATGTAATCAATATTCTTGGTTTTTAATCAAATTTTTTTCTTAACTGGAGCCTTTGCTAACTGTCTGAAAGGCAGTGTTTCAATCTGGGTGGTGTTGCTTGAGGCAGGTTCTGAAAAAGTTAATGAAAGAACAGGTTTGGCATGGCATTGAAGTCAGGGCTTCTTGATCTTGGCAGGTCTTCCTATCAATAGGCATGGAATATATCTACTTGGCGAGCCGCGACTGAATTTTTCAAGCCATGGTTTTATGGATTTGCTAGCCGTGGTTCCATTTTTTTGAGCTATGAATTCCATATCTTGGCCATGAAACGCCATTTACGGGGCATGCATTTATCTACAAAGTCCATGCACGTGTTACCCCAAATCTCTAATTTTACCCTAAAACAGTCAAACAGCTACAATATAAAATTTGTCTTTACTGTAAGTTGAGCAGTTAATGCAGTCTGACTGACTAGTGACTGTTTTGACATGACCGCAACAGGCACAACTATGCGCGATCTTCAACAAAATGTTTAGTTGATTTGTTTACATTATGATGTTTATGTTTTTTCTGCAGGATATTTTGGCAGGAATGGTAAAGCAATGCAGATTGCAGAAGTTGAAAATTTTATGAAATGACATGTTTGCAAAGTGCAAACCGCGATTTTTTAATCAAACAAAAATTAATGACATTTGAGCCATGAGATTTCATACCCACTGGCACTGAAATTGTATTATATGATATTAGAGCCGCGATATTTCAGACAAAAATAGGACTTTTCCAGCCCTGCTGAGGCTATCACAGGTGAGTCGGAAGAGCAGCCGGCAAACTCACCACTATGCAGAGGGTGGATGCAGCGTCGGCAATATATGGATTTTTAAGCCCAAAGCGTCGCCGGCCATTTTAAAGATGCGTCGCCGGGTAATTTTTAATGAAAAGCCATTTACGCTGAGTAATGACGAACTATTTACAAGCCACAAACTTATTACAAGGTTGCATGCACGTGTTATCCCAAATAACTAATTTTACCCTAAAAACAGTCCGGTAGTACAGCAAGTGTCAAATGAACAAGTAATAAAGCAGTCTGACCGCTCTAATGCGGCCGATACTACCGTACTCGGTACTACGCAATAGAAAAAAATGTTGTTTGCATTTTTTGCGGGAACTCATCGCAACTGATTTCCGGACAAGCTTCGCTGCATCGTAATCCATCCAACGTACCGGAAACCTTACTTTTTTTCTAAATAGTTGGCTGAAGACTGAGAAATATATTAAATGCAAGAATTTCAATCTAAATGTGTCGGCAAGATCTTCTGAAGGCGAAAATTTTGCCGATAATGCGTCGCCGTAGGTCTTTAAATCTTCGTTCACTCTCTGCACAGTGGCTGACTAAGAGTTAGAAGGCAATCGATGATCCGACCACAGCTGGCTACTTTAGCCAGTCGTCGTCATCGTCTTCGTCGCTGGAGAACAGCGGCAGTGGTGGTGGCTGCGTAGAAAACGCGCCCGTCTGTCGATAAAAGAATTAATCTTAATTTTTTTCGTTATAATGTTATGAAGTGAGCGGTATAATAATAGAGAAAATTGTACTGTTTGATTTCACTTTTTCGTTTTCTCTAGAAGCGTCTGCTGTAATTAAACAAATAATAACATAAAATCAAACCGTTACCGTCCACACGACGCTCTTCCAAGACTGTCTCAGGATCGGGAGGGCTATGGGCGGCGCAGTTAAACCCAACAGAACCAACGTTCAACAGTTGGTCTGGTATATTCCGAATTTATTTAATTTAATACCTTCATAACTTTTTTTGTCAGTGATTTCAATAGAACTGACCTGTGAGGTGCCAGAGGAAGTCACGGGAGCTGGCGTGGAAGTGGAGGCGGTGTGACAAGACTGGGCCTGCAGGTCACATGATCTGTGCTGGGCAGCGTTATGTTCGTGGGCAACCGCCCCCTTTTGCTCTCCTCCGTGCTGCTGCACGTCAGCATCCGTTGCACGGCACATAAAATTCTCTTGTTCATTCCCTCCTGGTATTTCATCGATTTGCGCGGCGCATTCGTCATGTTCCACAGTAACATTTCTGTTCACTAAATCATCTCTCGACTGATCTTTACATACTTCGAAGTTAGGCTGATCTTCAATTCTCAGATTTCTTGTCACATTTTCTCCTGTGTCTTCATCAATGTTATCCACATCACTAGCATGACCAACGAGTTTTGTTTCACTCCCGAGCATCGTAACATCAGGTTCGTTTGCAGCAGTAATGCCAGGGATTGTTCCGAGCCTCACAAATGACTGATTGTCATCCTGTTGAATTTGTCTCGGAAGTTCCTCTCTTGAAACCTGCACGATGTCTGTCTTTTCTTCTTGCAATAAGGAGAGAATGCCGTTTCCTCGAACTGGATCTCTTGCGTTATCGATGTTTTGGCGCGCGGAATTCGGGCTAGATTCAGATGGACTCGATGCACAGCTGATATTTTGGTCTGCTAGGCTATCTTTATGTTCTCTATACGACTCAGATTTGTGGTTTTGTTCATTATATACATCAGTCCCTTCATGAAGTTCTGTTTGATGGCGATGAAGCTCCGATTTCTGCTCCGGCTTTCCTAGTAACTCTTCCTCCAGCCTATAGCAATGACTCGTTTGTTCGCCATTGTTCTCATCACCCTGCGAAATTGAATAATTTGAAACAGCCTGGGGTTGCTCGGGCTCAACAGGTCCAGTCGGTGAATTTTCACTGAGCTCTTTTTCAACTGACTTAATCATGCGGTCTGCAACAACCAAATGAAGATCTAGTGGTTCATCTCGAAAATCATTTTCCAGGCAAGATGAGGAATCATTCTCATGTTTCATACCTAACTTGTCACTTGTTTGCTTCATATCAACGATGTTGTCCAAGTTATGGTCCATCGCTTCCAACTCTTCCGACAAATCCGGAATTTTTTCGCTATCGATTGGCTTATGCTGAATCTTTGAACTGTCTTCGAGAACTTTGGCCTCTTCAAAATTAGTAACACTGATCGGCTTTTCTTTGGCCTCGATTAGGGTTTCTTTTGCTGTAGAACGCTCTAGAACTTCGGTGCTGGCGGTTGCTGATGGCAATATCCGAGTCTCTGCTGCTTCTGCGAGCTCCTGGACTCGGTAGGCGGCTTGAATGTTGCATTGATCTTGTTCCGCGCGTACACCTTCTTCCGAGTTGGCAACGGGGTCAAGGCATTGCTCATTGCTCTGCTCTTCTTTTATTCCAACCATTTTTGCTTCAATCGTGGCTTGCATTTCATTCCTGATCTCTATTTCAGACTCCCGATTAACCGCTTGCACAGGTTTTGAAACCGACTTGAAATCTTTAGGTTCGCCACACGCCTCAGTTTTCCCAGTTTCTTTGCATATAATTTCTTGATGGTCAGCCCTCAGCGGACGTCGCTCGTGTTCACAGAGCGACTGTTCTATAAAAAGTGTTTCCTGGAGCTGCTGCCTGCCTTCCACATCCAGCGCGTGTTGCTTACGGCGTTCTTCTAGTTGCGTGGCAAACAATTCAAGGTAGAGAAGCGTCGTTTCCTAGAAATTAATGATTGAATCATAATTAATTCACAATGAATTTTATCGCAAATGTTGAAAGAGGTTGATTATATAGCGGTTGCATAAAGCTTATTTCTACAGCGCTAAACTAGAGTGTGAGAAACACTGTGACGATAATCTTATAGTACACCCGACGAATTGAGTGGCTACGGCCAATCAACTGGATTATCTACGAAATAGAATAAGAATACACTAACATCATTTTTCACAAAGATCATTACCAAAAAAAAAAAACACTGACATTAACTTGGAATGAACCAATACCCGCATTCTGAAGCGTGATATGATCAGAATAATACGGCACGATTTCAATAATCAAAGCACTCACCCTAATTACAGTCTGTATGGACCGTCGTGCATCGCTTCCCGTGAACTGTTGTTCAGAACTGAAGAGCTCTTTGGCGTCCTTGTAGACAGCGTTCATCGCTTTCTTCAGAGCGGACTCGACGTACTCCGACACTTCACCAGCCGAGAAACTCAGCTCTGCTGCTGCCTTCTTCAATTCCACTACAGCTTCCCCATCGAGTATCGTTTGAGTTGCAGCGTCGTAGCACAGAGATCCAGAATCATTTAAAAGTAACTTACAAGTTTCCTCCTGCTCTTCGTTGACAATTGTTTGAGTTTGGATGCTTCTGATGCGAGTGGATGGATCAGTCTGTGTGGCCATCTCCGTGTGTGTTACACTTGCTTGAGATACTTGAGGAACAATGCATTCTTTCGATGTTCCACAGTTCGTCGCGGGATCATTCAGCTCTTGCGTCTTTGTAACATCGCTTGAAATAAAATTCCCAAATTCCAGAAAATCTGTTTGGGTTGAAGAGTTGACGAAAGCGTTAGAGTTCTGGCTACGGTGTTCTTCATTTTCCAATGACACTAAATTCCTGGATTGATCGTGAATTTTATCTTCCTCATGGATGTCGTCACTGGAGTCGTCCAAGTTACCACCGTTAACCAATGGGGGAAGTGAAGCAGGTTTTGTCATATTGCTTTTGTTTTTGTGCTTGTGGGCCATACGACGGAGCTGGACAGTCTGCTGCCGCAGAAGCTGCAGATCTTCTTCCATGCTTTGCTGGGCAGCAGACAACTCATGCAGTTCGTTCTGCAACATTCAACACGAAAAAATTATACGCCTTTTGAATTAGGTTAGATGGAAATTAGTAACAAAAAACGCAAGAGAAACAAATCAAGATATCATAATTAATGAGAAACAGGTTAATAATTTAACTCAAAAACTTTACCTCAACTCCAGCTTTGGAGACATTCAGCTGCTCGAGTTGAACATCTTTGAGCTTCAGTTCATGGACCATCAAAGACTCCAAATCCCGAACGGATTCTTCCTTATCTTTCAGCAGAAGAAACAAACGCTCATTTTCTGCCTTAAGCTTTGTGATTTCTTCGTGAGAAGAAGAAGTGGCGCTGGGGCGGGGAGCCTCGCTAGGAAGTCTTGCCTCGCTGCACTGCATTTTGTGGAGCCGCTCGTACAGCGTAGTGACAGTTTCCTTCAACTTACCGATTTCATCGCACACAAATCCAGAGTCAACTTTAATACTCTTCGTTCCCATTTCACTCAATTCCGGAAAAGGATTCCGATTTTCTGTATTTTCAATGCTTACATCACATTTTTCGGCGTGGATGTTTGATTCTTTGAAATCATGTAACTCCTCAACTTTAATACTCTTCATTCCTGTTTCACTCAATTCCGGAAGAAGATTCCGATTTTCAGCATTTTCAATGATTACATCACACTTTTCAACGTGGATGTTTGATTCTTTGAAATCATTTAACTCTTGTTGAAGCTCGAGACATTTACGTTGCCATGATTTCTCCGACTCTAAGACCACGGAATACTTGCTCCTGAGCTCACACAGTTCTCGTCTCGAGTTATTCAAGTCCTCTTCAGTCGCGTCCCAGGTGCCGGAAACAGGAGTGGCTGAACAAGCCCTGCCAACGCTCGATGCAGATCGACTCTCGACCACCTCGGTCATATTATCGTGTGTGCCAGCGAGTCGTTGTGTAGCGATCGATAGTCTGGAAAGGTAATAAAAATTCAGATTTAATCCACTTGAAAACTATGAAAAACGAGCATCCATTCTACGATTAAAATGAGCATGAAAACATTGCAGCGAATGAAGGTATGCATTCTCTCTTGTATCTGGCAACATATACTGTGTGTCGATTTAGTAGGGAAGTTGATACATTTGTGATGAACTCGTCAGCTCGCAATGCATTTATCCGCAGAAATATCACTGTTCAAAACGGATGGAGAATAAAACAGCGTATACTTAGTTATCCATTGAGGACAGTTAACGTTTTGATTACGTCAACTGTAAATATTAAATTGTGATTGATGTATATTTATAGAAACACAACAAAATAGGCTGAGTAAACTTGCAGCGAGCAGCATCTTCAATTAGTGTTGAATAAAACTAAAGATATTGTGTAGCAAGGTATTGACTTTTCTTATTTCTAATGTAATCACTTACGAATCGGTTCGCGTGATATTTGTAGCTCGGATCCCCTCCTCCATCAGTTCTTTTATCTAAAAAAATGTTCAAACAATAATTTATAAAAATATATTATAAAAAATTATATACCATAAATGATAGAAATAATTAAGCGCAATAATTCCTAATTTTGCAAAGTGAAAGAAAATCCCTCTTACGGATAATGAAGGCTTGAAATCCGGCATCATTGAAGCAATTAACTCCTCCCTCAAGACAATCATTATGTTGATCCAATCTCCGAGTAATCAACTACACTTAATTAGTAAATATAAAACAGTCGCAAAGCCACCTTCTGCAAACCTAAAGTTCAAATAAATATTACTTTCTTTCAAACTACCAAGAATTGAACTAAGATAAACGCATATACGCGTTTTCCATTCCTTAATTACCTTGTTCTGTACATCCGTCACTTGGTCGGCCATGCGAGCCATCGCGATGCGCAACTCCGTGTTCTGTGAGCGACTCTCAGATAAAAGCAAAGAAATCGGAGCCTCTGGCGGTGCCGTTGCATAACTTTGATGTAAGTTAGGACCAGCATTGCTTGGCATGCTGAAGGGGGCGCCATAAGGCACTAAATGCGAGCCATAGGGAGAATATGAATGTGCGTAATGTTCAGGCATTGACTGCGGGGCATTGTGGGGTAATGGGCTTTGGTGATGGTAAGGTCTTACGGCGTTACTATGTGTTGGATGAAAGGCATGAAAAGGAGGTTGTTGGTAAATACCACTCTCTGGAACAAAATTCTTGGTGGGTAGGGTCGCTTGGGCAGGGTGAGATGAGGCACTTATAACTGGACGATGAGGGAAAGGCAACCATTGCGAACTCTGCAAGGATTGACCACCTACTGAAGGATGCATTGATGCTGTTTCACTTCCGTCCGAAGTAACATTTGGAGTTAATACCTCGGAAGGATTGTAGGCAGGTTTTGGAATCGCATTAACTCTATTAGAAACGAGCGTGTCACATTGTGAAGTAGGTCGAAAGCTCTGACCAAAACCGGAATTCTGGCCACTCTGGAGATCCCGAACCAATTCTTGGACCGCAGTCTGGTCGGTGGGTGTAACGTCGGAGGTATTATGTGAGAATTCTGGTGTGTTAACAACGGGTTGAAACGAGTTTGGTAACTCATTTTTAAAGTTATGGGTATGGCTCTCAATGGCAGACTCTGCCTGTAGCAATACCGTTTCATCCGCACCTTTTACCCCTTGGGGGCTGGTGCTACGTGTCACAACTTCAGGACCGCTTGCAGTTTTGTGAGCTTCGTCGTGCAAACGATTGTCAATAACTGAAGACGCGGCATCAGAGGCCGGTTCAGAAACTGCAACAGCAGCAGGGGCGTCAGAAGCCATATTTCTGACGCCAAACACGGGCTGGCCCATCCTGGCTATGCGGGACAATACACTGGCCTTGGAGGACAGTTCCTCGCGCGTTACTTCCTGGACTTCGAGCGCCGGCATCGTGGTATCTGCAACAGATGTACCATAATTACCGTAATAATCATTATTTATGATGATTATGAACATTTGGCTCATAAGTGTCTTACCGTGTTTTTTAGTAACCAAAACCTTCAAATCATGTTTAACCTATAAAAACAAGTTTGGACACGTAGTAAATTTCATTTAGTACTTCAAATATTGATCTATTCATGACACATTCATGATACTGTTATATGCCCAGGTCTTACCAGCAGAGTTCTTGGACGAAGTCATCAGACCATCTGCAGAATTCTGGCCAGATTCAGACGGGGTAGGAGTCGGGCAAGCCGACGGCCGTTTTTGACGTTTAATTTTTTCTATTGTGACATCATAAGCTCGAACTGCTGCTCCCTCCTGCCAGAACAAGACAGTGAACATCAAGACTCAACTTTTCATCCATGCCAGCAAGTTCTTTTCTTTGCAATAACACAAATTTAGATTATCTTGTATCCATATAATTTTATATTGAATGCAACATCATCAGACATACCTAGTAGGAATGGACTTGAAATAAAATAATATAAATCGACAATGGTCAGGCAAATTTGAATAATANTCTCGGGTCTATACTTTCAAAAAAAGTCAAGAGATCGTAAGTTCATCAGCCAATCATTGACGGCCTTTCAAGCAAAATCCACCAATCATATACAAGAAAATAGAGCGTAAGTACTTACGTTAAATTAGCAAATTTTGGAAGTATGGCCCCAGCTGCTAGTTCCCGAAAAGTTCGAGAACTAACAACGAATTTCGAAAGTGAAAATCTCATGCCTTAGCACCTTCAGCATATACCTAGTAGTATTTTCTCGTTCCCTTCAGCATATAGCATTTTCTCTATACCTCCAGCACACAACATTCTCTCCTTACCTCCAGCACACAACATTCTCTCCTTACCTCCAGCACACAACATTCTCTCCTTACCTCCAGCACACAACATTCTCTTCTTACCTCCAGCACACAACATTCTCTCCTTACCTCCAGCACACAACATTCTCTCCTTACCTCCAGCACACAAC